ATATCTAAAACTAGTTGTCAAGGAAACATCATCTATATCTAAAACTAGTTGTCAAGGAAACATTGTGTTGTTGCTTTTTAAACTATTTGTCAAAGGAATATTATGTTTGATAAAACTAGTTATCCGGAAACATCGTTCTTTTTTAAAATTAGTTGTCCAGAAACATTGTTCTGTTTTAAAACTAGTTATTCGGAAACATCGTTCTGTTTTAAAACTAGTTATTCGGAAACATTGTTCTTTTTTAAAACTAGTTATTCGGAAACATTGTTCTTTTTTAAAACTAGTTGTCCGGAAACATTACCTCTTTCTAAATCTAGATGTTAAGGAAACATATACTTACAGAGTTTTAAGTCTGAAGAGGTCCTGAAAGATATTTGTTTTCAAGGTTTGCAATGGATTGAAAGCGAGTTCTCTACATACCAATACAGAACAAAAGTTTTAGCATCTCGAGAGAAGAAATAAATGTTCAGACAGTAATAAACTTGAAACATTTACTTATGGTAAAACAATATTCAAATATATATGATCTCTAAAGTTTTGGAACAGATAAAAAATAGCTTGTAATTTCATGTGAAATTTCATCATTAAAATCAATGTTGGACAAGGGTCGAGCTGAGGAACCTATTTATACTGAAGTATATCTTATTTACACTGAAATGCATTGTTTCTGGCCTATGATTGGTAAAGGAAGTCTTGTGGCTCCTTAACGATGTTTGAGGGTCGCACGTGGGGCAGTTTATTTTATGGTTGGCCACCTCTGATTCCAATACATCAAAATTGAAACCAGAAAAAATTTCTCGCACTAACGAACTGACAAAACTTTGATGAATAATTCATTTTTTCTGTCTAGAATAATATCTTAATAAACCACCCTTTAATTGCGTTTATTCATTTGGTCTTTTAACAATAGAAAATGTAACTATCTATTGGGTTTTATTTTGAAATACTGACAGTTTTTCGCTAGGTATTATTGTCTTGTGCTATCGTGAAGTTGCCACCACCTGAAAGACACAGGCTGACACCTATGGAGTCAATCCAAAACTAATGATAAAAACATTATAGATATGTTTTTCGATACAGTATACAGACGATAAATGTATTTGTTTGTGTTTTGTTAAACAGAGTGTGTACATCAGGCTATTTATGCTGTGCTCACCTTAGGAATCGAACCTCGAATTTTAGTGTGACAACCCCTCAAGCTTATGATATGTTTGTGTATACTGTAAATACATAGTAAATTTGATTGTTGATAAGAATAATGCAAAATGACCCATCTATACCTTGTCCACCATAAGGATCAAACTCCGAATTTTAGATGATGAAACACAATAATTATCTAATAGATTACAAATATCTAATTTTTAAATTTACTTTTTAGACTGTTATTTCAAATAATCGTGAAGAAAGATTTCGATAAGAACATTTATTTGTAAGCCTAACTATAACTACTACCTTTATTTCTTATTCAAATAGATAATACTGGTTATATACAATTAGTACAAAATTTTTTTGGAAATATTAAAAAAAACTCCAAGTTATAAGTATTCATAAAAATAATTAGAAAGTTACTTATGTTTCTTAAAATATATTTAAAACTTCAGAATTCAGGGGGGCTGAAGCTCTTTCAGAGAAAGTCAATGGTCCAACCCCTCCTTGATAAAAATGGGTAACAGAATCGTTGGGAAATAAAAAATGTGTTTTGTTTTGGAGTCCAAGATCATAAAACGTGTTTAACATGTTAAAAATACTTCACTAAAATAACTAGATAATAACAATGGATACCGTATTGTTTGGCAACAAAGAGAATATTACGAAGACAATTATAACCTATTTAATCATTGGTTAAAAATGTATAGTAGGCTCTAAACGAAATAATTGTAGCGAAACGTTTATCTCAATATATATACATCTATTTATTTATTCAGCGAAAATGTCCAAAATGTACGTACTTACAGTTTTCTTAGCTGACATAGACTGTAGAATGTATTAGATGAGATAAATCCTATCTTGTTGTTTGATAGATTCCTGAAAAGATTCACTTCAGTAATTGTGGTAAGTTTAAACATCTTGTCAACATTATATCATAATTAAAAAAGTCAAAACGGTGAATGTTAAATACAAATAACCATTCTGTGTTTTTGTCTAAAGCTGCACAAAGGGATGTTTACGCATAGCTTCCGTTTGAGCTTACAGACACGGGGAAGACAGCTAGTCAACAGCACCCACCGCCAACTCTTGAGCTTCTCTTGTCCAGTCGAATAACGGTTTGTATGTTTTACTACACTAACGGGCTTCTGTTTATAGCCTCCTTAATCTTGAAGAAATACACTAGAGGGAAGACAACCAGTCAAACGTAGCCATCGCCAACCCTTGGGCTATTCTTGTTTGTTTTTTGAATTCCGCGCAAAGCTACACGAGGGCTAT